ATAGAGGATAGATATAACATTACAAAAAAGTAAAACCAACACATTAATATTACTAAGTCGGTAATTGTACTTCATCTGAATCATCTGCTGTGCTTGTATGTATTTGTAAATCTTCATAAATCCACTTTAGTGATGAGTTTTTCACTGTGAAACAGGCAGTGTCTGAATCTTTATTGACATATATGTAGCTTTATTGTATGAACTAATCAATCTCTTAATGGAATCTTACGAATATCTATGTTCTGATTTCAGATGGATTAGCTCTAATGTTGATGTTAAAGTGACATTAAACAATATCCTTTATTCTCCAAAAATAATCCATATACATCCATCACCTAATAACTCTGTGATCTATGTATTGCTTCCCCATAGGAGCCGCTGGTTAGGATGGGTCCATTGTTCTTTGCCTCAACCGTTTAACCACTTCTCGTCCGGCCGTTTATATACATAGAAACAGTAGAACACCGAACGTCGGACAAGACCTCTGTGCGATCATGTGGTCACTGATTGGCCAATCAGTGATCACATGCAGAGTAGTAAGCAAGATGCCACTTGTGACATCATTGCTTACTATGTGTGAAATCTGTGAATGATCACAGAGGTCACATGGTACAAGCAGGGGCGGACTGACAACTCATGGAGCCCCCTGGCAATAGGGGATCATGGGGCCCCTGTGTCCATGCCCACACTCAAAGTACACCCAAAAAAGCCTATAAAAGGCACCAGGGGCATTTCATGGGGTCCCCTACTGACCCCGGGCCCTCAGGCAGTGCCCGAGTGCTCGAATAGTCAGTTAGCCCCTGGGTACAAGGCTATTCACAACACCCAATCACAGCTCACACAGTAGTTCTCAATGGCTGCAAGAATGCAGCTAAAGAGAAGAAGAAATGATTGCTTTTACAGCCTTTATGGGTGTAAAAGCAATCAGTGTAAAAAAAAAAAAAAATCTTCATCACTCCTCACAATTAGTACAGTGTACTGCTAGGGTGACAGTATGTAAAAAAAAAACAAAAACATAAATAATAATATAAAAAATAAAAAAAATGTAAAAAATGTTTTAAAAATTATAATTTTTGGTTATAAACTAATTTGGGTTATTTTTTGTTTTACTAAAAAGATAACGGAATAAATTTTGGCCAAGATTTATGATTAACTACTATTTATTTGCAAAAGTTTATAAGAAAAACACTTTTTCAAAATTTTTGGACTTTTTTTACATTTACATAGCAAAAAAAATAAAAATCACAGGGGTGAATAAATACCACCAAAATAAAGCTTTATCTGTCTCAAAAAAAATGCTAAAAAATTCATATGGGTACAGTGTTGCATGACTGCGCAATTGTCATTCAAAGTGTGATAGCACTGAAAGCTGAAAATTGACCTGGACAGGAAGGGGGTAAAAGTGTCCGGACTGGAAGTGGTTAAGAACTTCAGCCCCTCTGACACACCAGGCTGAGCCTAGGTTCACACTACAGCAGTTGTGGAAATCCCATGTGATGCACACCGCAGGATGCACCGCATTCCTGTACAAATCACATGCAATTTGTATGCTGTACGATTAGAGCCATACATTTTGTATTGCTCTATTCGCACCGCACCAAAAAGGCGCAGGACCCTTTCTTGGTACACACTAGAATTGAATCGCATAGGTATCCACACCTATGTGATCCGATTCTGTACATTCATCTCTTATAAAGAAGTACGGAAGTGACGAAACACGTCAAGGGATGTGATGTTGGACGTTACACGGGAACCGGAAGTGGCGGAGCAGCCGTCATTTGTTTAGGGTATTCGGCACTTCGGTGTTCCAGGAAGCTGCTCATGACTGGGACATGGGAAATTTTTGCGAGTTGATGGATTTCTAAATGTAAGCATTACTAATAAATGTACTGGATCTTTTATGAAATTTACTACACTATACGTGCCACTTTTTTCTCTGTCTATGAATGGTAATGATAGATACAATTAAATAAAGTGAATGAAGGAAGAACTTGAAATCTGATTGAAGCCTGGAACCCAATCCTGGGAGTCATACCTATACTGGAGTGAGAGTCCAGGGGATTGCTCTAAAGGCTTTTTTATACCTACTGTCACGTACCTGATAGGAGACCAAAATGACGAGGTCGGCCTCACTTGTGTCACTAGCCCTGACTCCACTGGAGTTGGAACAGAGGGAGTCTAGGGACCAGGGGGACAAGAGCACCAGTAGTTGTTTTGCAGCTCTTGCAGATGGTGACCTTGGAGGACTGATGATCTTCTGATTCAGGCCCAGTAGTAACAAGCAGAGTGGGTTTTGTAGATCGCCAGGCGTGCACCAGAGCAAGGCAGGTAGCGAGGGTAAGAGACAGGAGCAGTGTCATAGGAATAGCCAGGGTCATCAACGGGTGGACAGCACGGTACAGAATCAGAAGCAAAGCCAAGGTCAGGAGCAGAGCCGAAGTCAGGAACCAGTATCAATCAGGAGAGCAATCAGAGTCAGGTCAGGAACAAGCCGGGTCAGCAACAAAGGAATCACACAGGAACAAGCAGGACACGGGGGAGCTGAAGACCAGTCAGCACCTATCATGGGCAGAGGCACTCTTTAAATAGCCCCTCTGGCGCCAATCTTCACCGTGCGTGCGCGTGATCGTGCATTTCCTCGCGCAGGCGCACAACCGACCACTCTTCTCCGGCCGTTTCAATGCGCATTTCTATTCACGATTCGTCTCAACAGAAATCCCTTACACCTACCTTAGGGTAATTGTATGCAATTCAGTCACCTAGAAGTGTTCACTAATGTGTATATAGGAGTGTACACAGAGTATTCACCAATGTGTATATAGGAGTGTACACAGAGTGTTCACATACTGTATGTGTATATAAGAGTGTACACAGAGTGTTTCACGTTTTCACGTGTTGTTCACAATTTTGAGCTCTAAATTTGCACGTTTAAAAATATTTTTAATATCTTATTAATATTTTTTGTTGGATTATATTTAATTGAGGATAATACACTATTTAGTTTTCTTTTTCTTTGGAGGTATGCGCTTCTTTGAAAATACACGGGGATGATGAAACAGAATATGGAGGAATAATTGTTTGGACATTTTTATATAATTTTTTTCACTGACACTAAAAGGTTTATTTATCGTTTTTGGACTTTTAAGGGTGAAAATGGGACTTTGGAGTGTCAAATAGGGTTATATCACTATTTATTACTTAATTTATTTTGGATACCGAATTTATATCACGATTCTGCACATTGCACAGCGTTTTGCGGACCGATGTGGGGGTGTCGTTAACTTAACATACACACCTGTATCGGTCCGCGTGAATGTGGTGCGGAATTCGCACTGAAAATGCTGCGAATTCCATACCGAATCAGTGTGAACAAAGGCTTAGTGTACAAACATACAATATTACAGCAATTCACCGAAAGTAATTATTATTATTATTATTATTATACTATATTATTATGTTATTATTATTATTATTATTATTATATTTATAAAGTAATATTTACCACCCAGTAGTAGTACTATATCAAAGAAAACAGACACACTAAACCAGTTAGTAAATGCAAAGTTATTATATTGTCACCTGATATAGTTGGTAAATAAGTAAGCATAGAAATTGGTTACCAATGATAATAGTAACATTTAGCATAGGGGGTGATTAGTGATAAGGATTAGGCATAAGATTACACTTGGGGGGAGATGTATTAAACTGGAGCACTCAGAATCTGGTACAGCTGTGCATGGTAGCCAATCAGCTTTGATCTTCAGCTTGTTTTGTTAAGCTTTGCCAATAAAACCTGGAAGCTGATTGGTTTCTATGCAGAGCTGCACCAGATTTTGCACTCTCCAGTTTTAGAAAATCCCCCCCAGGGTGGCCAGATCATCATAAACAGTAGCAACCTCACCTAAAGTTCAGCAGTAAGCAGTAGTAAAGCTTGATTTACTGGATACAGGAACTATACTGGCAAAATGCATTAATGGCGAATATACTAGGCCTAGACTAATGGCATGCGCACTGTCCATAGAAATAAAGGAAAGGGAAAAAGGGAACAAAAAGGGCTTGCAAGATGGTTTTATGGGAGGGCCAGTCCTTAGATTGTTCTTCTACCAGCTATTGTTGGGGCCCTTTAGGAAGCGTTGGTGCACTTAACAACAATTTTAGTAAACCAGCAAGCAGTATAAATGCAGTAAAGATGCAGTAAGATGCAGTATAGGTACAGTGAAGATGCAGTAAAGGTGCTGTATACTTAATGCCCTACCTCCAATAACTCATTTTTCTGCTAGCAAAGTGAACAATGAGCAGTGAGCCCTCTGATCAGTTCTTATGGTGTGGCTGTGATCTCTCACTGTAACAAAAGGAGGGGGAGCAGTCTTTACACAGAATGCTTCCTGAGATTCAGCAGTGGAGGGTGAGAGGATGTTCTGGTCTGCTACAATGGTGCAGATGTAGAAAAACATAACCCATCGCTCAGGGGATAGATGCATAGTGCCACATTCCAAACAGAACAAAAATTGCAACAATGGAGATATCTCCAGGAATAGGGACTTTTGAGGCACTGTGCTAAAGAAAAAAGCAACGATAAGCTGAAAAAAAATGTTTCATTTATTAACATATTCATTAAAACAATGGGCCAACAGTTTGGCTATTTAATACGTACTATAATGCACAATACATTTACTGAGAACCAACAGGTCACATAGTATATTTGGACGAAACAATATCCCGCTGTAAACGACAATGATTTCGCAGTTCACATCTGCTTCTTTAACTAGTTGCCGACTGCAGATAGCTGAATGACGGCTGCACTGCAGCCGGCCAGTTCTGGGAGGGCGTTATATGACGTCCTACCAGAACGCGCTCTCCTGCGGGGGCGCGCACCCGGCGATCTCCATGATCGCTGTGTCCTATGGACATAGCTGATTACGTGATGTGGTAAAAGGCCAATCACAGTGGCCTTTTACCACGTGATCAGCCATATCCAATGACACGCTGATCACCAGGAAATGCAATTGCCGGTTCTCAGCTGCACTTTCCTCACGCTGTCAGAGCATGAGGAAAGTACTGCCGAGAACCGGCAGTTGTTAGAGCAGGGATCGGCACCGATCATCAGGGCACTGATGATCACTGATGATCAGTGCCCTTATGATCGGTGCCCAGCAGTGCCACCCACCATTTCCGCCCACCTGTATCGCCCACCTGTGCCCAGCAGTGCCATCCACCTTTGCCCAACTGTGCCACCCACCTGTACCTAGCAGTGCCACCCACCTGTGCCCAGCAGTGCCACCCACCTGTGCCACCCACCTGTGCCCAGCTGTGCCACCCACCTGTGCCCCAGCAGTGCCACCCACCAGTGCCCATCAGTGCAGCCCAGCAGTGCCGCCAGTCTGTGCCGCCAGTCAGTGCCCAGCAGTTTCACCAGTCAGTGCCCAGCAGTGCCACCAGTCAGTGCCGCCTATCAGCGCCGACTATCAGTACCCATCATCAGTGCCGCCTATCAGTACCACCTATCAGTGCTGCCTATCATTGCCACCTATCCGTGCCACCTCATTAGTGCTGCCTATCAGTGACCATCAGTGCCGCCTATCAGTGCCCATCAGTGCTGCCTATCAGTGCAGCCTCATCAACGCACATCAATGAAGGAGAAAAATTACCTGTTTGCAAAATTTTGTAATAGAAACAAAGAAACTTTTTTTTTCTTCAAATTTTTTCCTCTTTTTTTGTTTATAGTGCAAAAAGTAAAACACCCAGCAGCAAGTAAATACCACCAAAAGAAGGTTCTGTGTGTGAAAAAAAATGCTAAAAATTTCATATGGGTACAATGTTGCATGACCACGCAATTGTCATTCAAAGTGCAACAGCGCTGAAAGCTGAAAATTGGCCTGGTAAGGAAGGGGGTATAAGTGCCCTGTAGGCAAGTGGTTAATGGCTCAGCGGGAATCGCCTACAAAAACATATACATAACTTCATAGTAACAGGTATATACATTTATACACAACAATACAACCATTAAAACACATTGTGAGAATATTATTGTTAAAACTCTTACCACAATATCCAAGTAGATCACAGAGTTGTTAGTTCAAAAACAGTCATGACTACCGATGTCTGCCATCAAGGATAAATGCCACATCATACGCACATATATCCACTCCCCCCCCCCCACGCAAAATGGGGGAGAAGGGAAAGACCAAACCAAACCACATGTGATTGCTGGAGGGGCTTATTGCCTCCTCCTCTCCTTTGTGTGGCCCAGAAATTTTTTTTTTTAGCTTATCGCCGTTTTTTTTCTTTAGCACAGTGCCTTAAAAGTCCCCATTCCTGGAGATATCTCCATTTTTGCAAATGGTGTAGATGCAATGATCCTGGTGTGTGCTGTACTGCCTTGGATGTCTCCTCTGGTCCGGCCTCTCAGCTGCCTGCCTTACTCACAACAAACATGTCAAAGTAACTTATGCACCTTTTTGAGTGCCTAGCTTCGTACATTTGTCAACTGGAGTTTTTTGCCACTGTCGTCATATGTTTCTTCTCAGGAAAACAAACACGAGTTCACGGTACCATTAACAATGAATGACACCACAAGCATGACACGCATTTTTGCGCAATGCTGCTATAGTGTCAAAACAAACTTAAGCTAGCTACACAATAGTAGAATTTCATGCAAAAGGTTTTGTTATAAAAACATTTGTTTAATTTTTTAAACATTAGTGGTGTCAAATCAATGTTCATTTTTTACTTCAATGACAAGAAAATTCAAAGAAGCGTTGTGAAATGCTGGTTTTCTTTCAGTAAAGTCAATTAATTCAGGGCCCAACGAACTTCTGGCACTCCTCTCCTACCCCTATTTTTAACTGCTTACAATCTGCTGGTGACCAGTAGGCTCATCTCTCGTTGCTATAGCATGCTTTTGACAGACTATTTGGAAAAACACCCGAGTAGGGCCAGTGGGCAGTGGGAATGAGATGTTGGGACTTTTGAGGATGACCAGTGGGAGGCTGCCTTGTATTCCATACATCTTAGTTTAGTTGATGGTTTCCCATCACATTTCTCAATTGTATATTCTACTTAGGGTTCATCACACTCCTGCAAAAGTGTACACGATGGAGCTACGTCAGAATCCCCTATGTGGCAGATGCAAGCGGGACCCTGGGGATCTGATACATATGTTGTGGAGATGTCCAAAACGTCATAGGTATTGGGAGGAGGTGGTAACTACCCTTAATTTGGTGTTTCAAACTAATTTAATTCTGGATCCTAAGCAGTGCCTCTTGGGTATTTTAGATTCAGTAATGCAGGATACATTTATATTAGAAGCCCTTTCCAAGGCCTTGTTCCAGGCGCGCAAGGCACTTCTAACGCGCTCGACCTCAGATACTCCTCCCACTGTTGCTGACTGGAAGCAAAATCTGGGAATTATTTTACGACATGATCGTTTCGTTTACCAGCATGGAGGATGTTCGGGTAAATTTGAGAAACTTTGGGATGCTTGGTTGGCCACCCCAGGTTTAGCCCCTTTTCATCTAATAATGCATAGGCTGTTGTAATTACTTTCAGTTGTAATTAAGTGTTCTTGCATGGAAAGACCACTTACTGTTATCTCACATATATATTCTTATTATTATAGCCAAATTTACCACCCTAACTCCTCCCACAGTTTTTACACTATATAGACAGTAAAATACAGAAACGTGCGGATTGTTCCCGATTGGTGTGCTATTACTTTGTGGAACATTTCGCCGAATGGTTCACGAAATATCAGCGTTTTTGTGGTGAAATTGGTCCCATAGGAATGAATGGCGGAATGTTCAAAACTAGAGTGGGAGCTGAAAAATCAGGACATGATTTCTAAACTGCCACCACTCCCTCATTTTCTAGCCCACCTACACAAATCTTATATCAAAATGTTCAGCTATCCCTGCTGCCACTAAAAATGTCAACGGCTAAGCCATAGTCCTGATAGTTTTCACAATATGACCATTTGTTTGCAACTCACGCCTCCCATTGACCATTTCACAGTTACTCCAGCCACTCCAACCACACAACAGTTACTCCAGCCACTCCACCCAGTTACTCCGCCCACTCCAGTTGTAGACTACTAGTGGAGGCCAGAACACTTCACACAATTTCCCCAGAAATTGTAGCTTTTCTAGTTTGATTATTACTTTCTCAAAGCTAACCTATGCCTCTCCTGCATTCCCTGGTGGGGGGCGGGGTGCTCTCTGTCTCCTGCGGGTCTACTGTTGTGGGGATACTCCTATTGTCCTGTATATGAAAAAATGACCATGTCATCTGTCTGCATTGTAACATGTTAATGATTGATCCTAAGCCGTTTTGTACAGTACAGTACCTGAGCCCCATCACAATCCATCACTGTGGGGGAGCAGCTCACCGCTCTCTCTCTCTCCTCACTGGTTGAGAGGCTAGCAGCTGGAGCCATTGTCAATCACAGCCAGTGAGGAGGGAAAGGGAGATGGAGCTGAGCCATGCTCTGTATGTCAATGACATGAAAAAAGTCAGTGTCTGGCATTAGTAACATGTTATCTCTGTAATGTTGCAGAAATTCTTAGATTTCTTGTCTAATTGATTGCACTGGAAGGTTTTATTTATTATGTTGTTTGGTTTGTTAATGATTGAGTCTTTGATACCATTCTCTATATGCTTTGTCATTTTGAGATTTGTATGACTTCAACATTAATAAACGTCATTTCTGATTTAAAAAAAAAAAAGTAAATTAATTTCAAAATTCAATTTCAAAAGCAAATTAAATTTTGATCTATTTTTAAACATTATTTACCAAGCTGTTGAATGCACTGGAAATTTTTATATGAATTTTCCTTAACTAAACCTACTGGTTAGCTTAAGTGTTAAATAAAAAGTCTCAAAATTTAAGGCATGAGTGAATTTTATAATATGAACCAAAATATTCCATGCTAACACACCCTAAAAACACCCCCATAGCTGGTGTGTAAATATCCAAAAGACAGTCAAAAAATACAAACTAACAGAGTGCTATGAACTTGAAGTGGTAGCAGAGGTAGAAGGGTTTTTACCTTCATGCATTCTCTGCATTAAGATAAAAAACCTTCTGTGTTCTGCTGCCCCCCAGTCACCCTAAATACAGTACTTACAGTACAGTACAGTACCTGAGCCCCATCACAATCCATCACTGTACCCAAGAGCAGCATCACCGCTCTCTCTCTCCTCACTGGTTGAGAGGCAGCAGCTGGAGCCATTGTCAATCACAGCCAGTGAGAAGGGAAAGGGAGATGGAGCTGAGCCATGCTCTGTATGTCAATAGACACAGAGTGCGGCTTAGGATCAATCATTAAAGAGTGCCCCCATAGAAAGTGGCTATGGTGGCACTCAGAAGGGGAGAGGAGCCAGGAACGTCCGCAGAGGAACACAGGAGAAGGATCGGGGCTGCTCTGTGCAAACCAATTACACAGAGCAGGTAAGTATGACATACTCTCTTCACAATCACTTTAAACTAAAAAATATATGCAATCTCCCCCTTTGTAAAAATGCATAAAGTTTAAAAACTATTGTGTAAATTAATAATATGCAGAAATCAATAAAGTAATAAATTCCTTAAAAGTGTAACAATAAAGAGCAATATTGCCATACATTAAACTTAAAACAAAACAGGCAAAATTATCACGCATCAAAATTTGGACAATTTTTTGATGTTTAGTATTTTCCACAATTTTTTTTAAGTTTGATGCATTGCACTATTGCACATTTTGCATACGTTTGCACAATAGTTTCTACACTTCATGCATTTTTGCACGGGAAGGAGGGGAGAAAGGAGAGATCCCATATACTATTAGGCTCCATTTGCACCTATGTAGTTTGCTTTTTGTTTGTTTTGCAGTGCTTTTCGCAGTTCGTTTTGCATTTTTCTATACGCATTTTCATGCATTTTTACTGCGTTTTTCACTTTGTTCAGATTTGTTTTTGTTGCAGTGGCATTTTTTTTTTGTTGCTGGCCAGAATAAAAATGCAAACGCAGCAAGAAAAAAACAAAAATGCACAACCATGCATTTCAGCAGCTTCTCCATTGAACTCTATTGTAGCAAAAACGCTGCTTTTTGCTTTTAAAAAATTTCCTGACCCTTTCCAAAAATGCAGCAGCTCAAAAAACCATAGATGTGAATATGTTCCATAAGAATGTTAAATGGACTGTAGTGCGTTTCTGCAAAAAAGAACTAAAAAACGCATTGGTGTGAACAGAGCCTAAAGATATATTTTTATTTTATGTCCATAGTGCTGTTATTTGTTGGTTTGGGCAAGTGAATTTTGCAGTTTTGGGATAGAAACAACTGAGACAATATTACAACTACAATCTGCTCCCCCCACCTTTAATAATATATTAGCATATATTATTAAGATATCATTTGTATTTTTTTTTTTATTTTATTTGTATTATTTGTTTGTTTGGGCACATGCATTTTACAGGTTTGAGAT